AGACTAACGGCCCAATGGCACACAAGAGTTCCCTTTCTAGATGGAACGATTTTAGCATATCAGTACTTATTGTGTCTGTAAAATGTGATCGGTAGACGAACTCACCAATAATAAAGGGAACCACCCGCCACCACATTAACTCCCTTTGACCTTGTACTACTGTATCTCTTTATTAACCAATCACAGTTTGATGTTCATTGTAAAACAATATTTGCTTGTTGACTCATTTCTCCTATTCTCTGACTACTGTTCGGTATGTTATTTGTCTGTTTTTTCCCTTAATTAATAGACCGTACAGTTTGTTTGTACACTAACGATGTTAATTGATGTTTTAGAAACAGATAAAGTTTATCTAGTCGAATAGCTTGCTTTTTCTGACATTGACCAAACCAAGACTCTGTATTCGACGGTCTAGAGAATAGCTCAGAATTAAACCTGTAGACAATTACGCCCTACAAAGTTTCGAACAGTATCTCATCAAAGTTTCGTGCATTTGGTACCTTTAGATGTCTATGGAGAGTCATAAAAATGGTCATATTCCTGAATTGTCTCCTCGTTATTCAGAAACCCATAGTGATGACCAGCTCGGAGGAAATACTTACCGAATGGATCCCTTGTTAGAGTTAGATTTAGCTAAAGTACGTTTAGCTGAGACAGAAAAAGAAATCGATCTAGAACGGTTACACTAAAAAGAAAGAGAACATTATAATCAAGTTATGGTTGACAAGGCGATGACGTATGAGTCTACATCTGTCTCACATGTCGTTGATGTTCCTCCTAGAAAAGACTGGGTAACAATTATGTCTAGAGCCTTAGACCTACCAAAGAAAGAGATCATAAGGTTTGATGGTACCCTATGAACTATTGGAGCTTCATACGGAATTATGAGGACTGTTTTGACGAGAGCATTGAGTTCCGATTTAGGTTAAACTATTTGATCCAGTACTGTGATCGTGAAGCTAAAAACACTATTGTTCATTGCGCATTGCTCCAGCCAGAAGAAGGCTATCGTAAGGCACTAGAACTTCTCAAGGAAGCATTTGGTCAGAAGCATATAGTAGCCCATGAATTTATTGATAATATGCTGAACATCCCTGCCATTAAAGGGACCGATCCATATAATTTGAGAAGGTTGTCTCGTGAGACGCATATTTGTGAGCTAAACTCACGCAGATGAACTATGTATATGATCATAATTCTAAAAGACTATCGAATGCATGTTTTTAAGACTCCCGTTACACCTGCAAAGAGAATGGGTTAAAACTGCATGTAGAATTCTTAAGAAAGGTAGAGAACCTTCATTCAAGTACCTTTGCGAATTCGTGAAAGAGCAGTCAGACATTACCAATACTAGATACCGGTTACTTGTCACCGGCGATCATTCTAATCGCAACCAAAAGCAATCTGATGTTATTACTGAAGGACATTTTGATTCAACATATAAAGCGAGAGTGTCATGCGTTAACACGAATGAGTTTGATGTTACACAACTCGTAAGACAAAAGACTCTTGGATTGTCATGTTTATTATGTACGGGAAACCACCCATTAGATCAATGTGAAAGGTTTAGAGAAAAGAATTTTAATGAAAGGATAGAATTTGTATCAAAGAAGAAATTGTGTAATGTCTGTCTAAAGGCGAACCATATAGCAAAAGACTGTCGCGCGCCGAGATCATGTGCCGTCGAATGGTGTGGTTGGAGACACCGTTTGTTGTTACATAAGAAGTGGGAAGAGCAAAGAGATAATAATAACAGTGCACACATTAATACCCAACTATGTACGGATAAAAGCGTTGAGTGTGTACAGAAGCAAGTAGCATTTGCAATAGTGCCCGTATTGATAAAAAATGGAGAAAAGTCAGTACAGACTTGCGCCTTCTTAGATAGTAGGTCGGATGCTTGACTTATTACAGAACATCTAGCCAGAAGATTGGGTATAGAAGGAGAGTCTAAGACGATTTTATTGAAACCACTGGATAACCAGTCCACATTTCAATGTAAAGAGGTTCAAGTAGAATTCCCCCTCCCTTAGACCCGATTTATTATTATTAATATTCTGCTATTATTATTCTAAATTTTTTTAAATATGGCAAGTACAATGCTAACATTATTGAAAATAGTGTATTATTGCATTTTCTGAAGAAACCCGAAATGGTTTCTTCACAACACTTATGTACCCATAAGATGTTTGTGAATAATAATAATAATAATAATAATAATAATAATAATAATAATATCTAACAGACTGACCGTAAGTACAGAAGTATAACCGTGAAGAGTGGTCGTGATTTGGTTGTGCTAAGCTATTAATCAACTTGTAGTTAGAGTTTGAAAAGTCGATGACTGCTGTTACAGTCAGTAAGGGTCGAAGGCTACAAATCGACAGCAAAGGTGGCACGATGAAGTCTCTAAAAGATGATGATTGGTGAGTGCTGCGTGTTTGTTCGGTTAGTGAACAGAAAAATATCGAAAAGAACATAAGAAACCAAGAGTGTCACTCTGGACTCATTTCAATGATACCCGTGAAAAACGCTGTCAGTGTTGGGGTAGAGGCGACAATGTCGTTTTCAGTTTGTAGGAGATTCGCTCGACTGCATAAACTGATGATTCGTCCGAATGATAATGTCGTCAGTCCACCAATTGAACTGGACAGGTTGTAAATCGTTGATTAGTTGAACAGCCGATATATGTACCGAAATCATCTGTTAGATAACAGCCACGAGGACAATACTTCATAAAATAAAGTACGACGTCTGAGTAGAATAACTACAACAGTTAGGATGTGTTATAAAGTCAAATCTAAATAACATCGTTCTTACGTATACTGACAGTTGCATTGAACGTTCGTTTGGGTATTATTAGCGTAGCAGTTGGATGTGTGAATAAAAACATATACGAGAACCATGGTTGGGTTCGTGGAGAATTTTCGAGGAAGTTTAGATATTTTCCAAACCCGTATTGCATGCAAATAAACCGAAAATAGAATTAAAATGACTGTCGTGTAACAAAGAAATCGAGCCATGATTTACCGTATGAAATAATGGCAAATACAAAGGGTATAGTAAACAATAATTAAAATGGTAACCACCAATAAAACTAAGGTTTAGAGGGTCCAGGTAACGTGGCCATTTCGTAAAAGGCTGATACAAAGAGCTTATTACCTAGCGTTAAGTGACATATTAAGTACGACAACGTGCGTACTTGGGACATGGACTAAGCGTGCTCGTATACATGCATTATGCTTTACCACAGTATGTCGACTAACGAGTCATAAAAGTACATGATGTCGACTAAAACTTGACGGCGGTGACAGGATATATGGCTACTTTACGTGAAAGCAACTAAGAAATGTTATCACGCATCATAAAAATAGTACGAAATAATCTAATGAAATAATGAAACTCGCCTGGGTTACTCTTGCTTCTAAGTAATGAAGATATGAAGTAGACAGTACTTTGAACCCGGATTATGTACGATGTACTTTTGATTAAATTTTTCGATTAACACAGCGTTATAGACTGAATTTGTATAAGTCCGGAATTAATTTAAGCCAAATAAATAGTATTGCTTGACGAACAGACTAAACGAGATCTAAGACTGCAGAAAATTTATAGTTCAAACTCACCGTAAATTTCTATCATTCATATCCTCTGTTTGGCCATGGAACTCAGCAATCGGAAATTAGGCAGGCGGTGGTCAAAAAAAGTAAAACATCCTAGTGAATAGTGGTTAAGCAGAAAGATGAATAGTCGACAGTTAATCTTGTCTCGCTTATATCAGTGGATAAATTACAAACAGATATGCATTCGTGTTGCCTTGTGGCTATACTCACGAGTGGTTGATATTTTAACAGACATATTACACAGGGGCATTTACATGCTGTTAATGCTTGTTAAAGAACCACGATAGCCGATTATAAGTGTAGTTGATTAATTCTATCGATTGAACTAATTATTTAGGTTTAAATGCTAATCGACATTGACATGAAGCAACGAAAGTTCACAGTGATAGATTAACATAGGCGATGATAAAAATGAAAAAGAGTAATTAAAGAATGCAATAATAAAGATTATAGTGATAGGTTGCGTTATTCGAAGTCTTGCTCACCAGTGTAGTTCACCAACCTAGATGATCTATGTCGAAATTATTGGAGGCCTACTCGAGTTAGACGTGAATGATGTGACAAACTAGCTAATGTCGAAGTCACACCTAATAGTCAGCACCTTAAGTTGACTACCCCATCGACGTATCAAGGTACCATAGATGCTTTGAAGACCGTACAACACAGAGAACGTTATTACAGAAACATATTAGTTAAAGTAGATACAATCGAAAGTAAGACTACTGCCGCATGGGCCAGTCCATGGTATACGATTAACTGATGCGCGTTGGTTGTCCCTGACCTTGACAGGGAGCGATGATCTGTTCGACATTCAGTGATCCAACTGCCGGATGATTCGGCTAGCGCTCAGTGATATTTCACTGGCCCTACAACTTAAATCTTCAGACAACTCTCTTCTCTTAGATCTTCTGTAGTTAATATTATTTAGACATTCTCTTACCCCGTAGTCACCCCTCTGATGATGAAATGGCTGTTTGTTACACAGACTCTACAAGCTTGAGATTAATCCACTCACTCGGACTACAAGATAATAAACGTCTCAAATAACTTCTGAACTGACTTATACTAGTGAAGTCTATTGGCTAAATTACCACCCAGTGGACATCAAAAAAGACTTAGGAGCCGTACCTAAGCAACAAGAAGAGTGTGCCAAGAAGTAAACCGGTTCTTACAAGCCCTCTACAACGATGTTAGATCTCAGGACTTCTAACTTATTGTAAACTCTATAAGTGGTTTAAGTTTCTCAGCCACATTGAAATAATTCAAGATTGTCATAAAACCACAGCCTCGCGACAACATCTATATAGCTCGGAGCGATTTTTTTAGATTTCAGGTCTGTTATATTGCTTGCTTTTAAGTGTTATAATGAATATGTACGTTCTCAAATGACCCTTGTGGAAATTTGAAATCTATATTTGACCTTGGCCCCTGTTCAGAATGCGTCGGAGACTTCTATCTGAGTCCCAAGTTGATAAGGAATACTTTAACTCCCTGATTGAACAACAAAAGGTTGATGACATCACGATTGGTGTTTTTTATCGATCTCGTACACTGACCGTACTAGTTGTCATCTGGTTGTGTTTGGCTTACTTCGCTTTTTCAAGGTACTTCGTTTGTTAATTTAAATTTGAGATTAAGGTCCCCTACACAACCACTGCAGTATAATTTATATCATGCATTTATGGTTGTATGTGTTATATTTTTATTGATATCGGTGATGATAATGCCTAATGGTACGTTTACTAGACTTTCAAAACTGTTTACATGAAAATATTTTGTTTTCTTGCTGAATTAAGTTCCGTATATGGAATCTGTTGATGTGTCCGGTTAAAATAGCATTAGCTTTAATCTTATTAGTTTGTCCATAAATTATAGTTTTGCTAAACTATCTTCAAATCTAATTTTAAGGCATGCATAGTGTCATATCAACCATTCTCTCATACATATATGATATTAATAGTATGCCTTAGTTTGCGTCAAGCTATCTAAAAGAATACATTTTTTAGACGTCTATAGTGCGGCATAACGTAACTGTTAAATCTTATCCGAAATACTGTAATTTGTGGATCTAACCAACGGGCTAACCAAAAAACTAGCCACCCAAGATTTCTAAATTTTCGCTTGAAACAGGTTGCTCATAACTTGGTTCTTTTTTAGCACCAGGTGTCCCAAATAATATTTACTTTTTAACTTGATTCTATATGTTCATTCGATGGTACGTAAGGAAATATACTGGTCGTTACAATGATAATAGAACAGGGATCATGAGTATTTAGCAACTTCAAAATGAGTAATACTTTCTTCATATACAGTACTAATACTGAACGCGGATTCTCCAGTCGTTGGAGGACATGCTTTTTCCTTTATATTTCAAAGGTTGGTTTCTGCAGATCATAAAAATTCTAAAGAAATTTAACCAAACAACTCAACACAGGTAATAAACCTGGGTTTCTCCGTGATAGTTCATCTCCAACTCAATTATATGCGGCTCATTTTGTATCATATTTAACTTTTATTCGACTCATCAGAATGTTACATCACTGGTTGTTGTTACTAATGCAATTCCATGTTTTTTCCCTATCTTATATTTTGTAAACAAATGCTTTTAATGAGTGTATCCGTTTATTGTGATACACAGTGTTCATCCATACTACTAAAAAAAAAACTTTCAAATTCATTCTAGGCCCATTTATTCGACCACATCCAGCCCTATGGAGGATGGTTTTTGGTGCTAGTTTACTATATTTTTTATGTTTAGTTGCAGTCGTGTTTCTTCGTCTAGATGAAGCTCGCTCCATTTTGATTTGGGTATATCCTGAACTGAAACATATGCGTCATTCTGATATTCTTGATAAAGAGTATGCCGTTAATTGTAGTCAGGTTTGTTATTTATTTGTAAACAGAATTATTTGAATAATGCCCCCTTACATAAGTCTATTCACTCACGCTTTATGTCTCCTACAATTTTGTGGTTTAAAAATTCACTTATATTTTTTTCAGAATTCTCAGTTAATTTGGTTAAATCAGTGTAGAAAATACTCACAACTATACCTACTCTGTCACTCACATATTTATTATGTGTTAACTTCCCAGCTTCAGAAATTCTTTGATGTATTTTGATTCATCACTATTTAGTTTTGTTTGTTTGATTTATTAATAATTCAGTTCGATTGTTGGTCACCTAACTACTGGTCTTCAGTCTTTTTAAATTATTTTGAAATCTTAACTATTTTTTTGAGCATCATAGATTCTATTTTAGGTTTAAACGGTAGAGATTGCAGCAAATGTCTTAAAACTCCACTTCTTTAATTAGTTGAATCAGTAATAGTAAAAGTCAAGTCGTGGAAAACAACCAAAGTTTGCACAAGTTCACCACTTTTTATTCTTCTATAATTGGGGATAAAATTCATTTTTCCTGTCCAATTTAATCCAAATGATTTATTTTGGTGGAAGTTGTTTACTATAGTGTCTGTGTCCTTTACACCCAACCCTTACTCTGATTTTAGTTTGGTGTTTGAGTAGCATGATAACTGAGCACTATCTTTAGCGTTCGACTCTCAACTTATAGATTACAGTTCTAAACTCTGTTCCACCTGCTCTCATTTGGGTAGAAAGGCAGGTAATATCACTAGCCGTTGCATATGGAGTAGAGCCGGATGTTTGAATGTGTACTGGGTAAACAAATAAAATTTATTACACCTTCAGGACCATAAATTATGTACTACCTAATGTACCTGACCCATTTTTACAATGAGTTATTTGTCGTCATACAAATGACTGCCTAATATAATCTTTTACTTTGCAGTTCTATGACGCCGATTAATCTGTGAAAGAATATAAAGTCATAGTCAGACTAGAATTTAGCACAAGTATGCGTCAGACCAAGCTATCACATTAAAAAAACATCATTTTAGTAAAGATTATACAGATACATTGCTTTACTAAGCATATTGATCAGATTAAATAAGGTTCTTTAGTGATAGGTCACAAGCATTAAGCGTAGCTAAAATTTCTAGGGATTATTTACATATATTCTTTTCTATCCTCTTAAGTATTTCGTTTTCCGACTTAAGATGTCTATTTTTCTCTACCCAACTGTTTATCATTATTATTTTGCTACTTCAAAGATATCTTTTGCTCGAGTTTATTCTCATATGGATATCTTTGCATTGGCACATTTTCTTGGTTGGCTTATTAAAGCAACTCTATTAAGACATCATATTATTGCGTGGACTTTGTCGATCAATTGGGAAATAACCGAAGTAAGTAACTTAATGATTGATATATTTTTATTTTTAAATATTAACTTTAACAAATTCACTGGGATATTCAATATTTGGGAGTGGTGGATAAGAAATCATGAACTCAAGTTTTCTTACGTGCTATCATATGTCAACAACGTTTTCGTTTGATATTCAGGGAATTGATCCTCTCTGTGTAATTCAAATGAGTGCCAACTAACACGAAAATTAAGCTTAGAGTTTCTTGCTGACTACTTCCAACTAATTATCATCTCAACAAAGTACATTTGATGTTGAGTTGCCTAGACCAGTGACAACACTGAAATGGGATTAGTAGAAATAGGGATTAAACAAATAAGACATTGAATACTTATCGGTGACCAATCAATGTAATTCGTTATATTGGCCTATCCTTATGAGAATTTGAAAAATAAGGGAGGCTACCGTTGTTGATTAGTCTCAAACTAGGATGAATGTATACAAAGTTTTCACAAAACCATCTCACGTAGAATGATTTGCTATTATTTGAAACAATTTATTTTGATGATGCTACAACCTAAAGTTGTAACATTATTTCCAGAAACTACAATATGACAAGATGAAAAATAAGAGAGAGCAAATAATTTGTAGCTACTTTAATCCTAGTGCATAAAAATATACTACCACTATATGACACAGTTATCTGATTGCGCTACTAATATATACGCCTCCTATATGTGGGTCCGACGTGCTGTCTAAATGAGAAAACTCAGAGTTATTAGAAATCTTTCATTGACCACGTGAGTTGAGAATGCGTGCACACTCATTTGTAAACAAAGTTCCTTTTCCTTTGGAAAGCAAAGCCTCATTTTCAACCATTGGTGTGCGCCCATCATCATAATCTTTTCACTGCTCGTTTTGCTTATATCTGATTGGCCCATTGTATCACCTTCCCTTCATGAAAAATAAGTTTTCTTTTGTGGACTAAACTACATGAATTGAGGCGAGGATACATCGGTTACGCAAATCAATTTAATTAGTAAAATAATTCCAGTGTTCAATGGTCCTTCAGATGATCTTTGCGTCAATCTGTCAAATCCACACCTATATACGTGTTCTTATAAAGCTGTTAAAGAATTGTTTTCATTTTTTAGATAGATGGCGATCAGAAAATTAATTTGACACGTTTTAGTAATCATTAATGATAAGTTTGAGTACAGCTTTAGATTTAAACTCAGTCACAACGTAGGACCAGGCACATATATGCATCAGCCCAAGTTGCCATACCTCGTTAGCACAACGAGATGAACACCAAATTCATTGTAGTTACTTCAATGGTAGTAATATATAAAAGAAATATTGTGTATAAGGATATAATACAGGTAGAAAGAAAGATATAAAGCGGTTTCGATCTCACGGTTTAAGGGAAGATAGTGTATACACCTTCGCCATTGTGATCGATTCTGAGCCATGTCACGTGGACCCCGATCAAGTAGTTTGCATCTGCGAATATGGCTCAGACTAAAGTTAGTGGTTTCAAGGACTGATGCTAGATTTAAATTCTTAACTATCTGTTCTGTTTTTTTTTCAGCTGTAGTGATCGAAGCATTGAGATTTCTTAACTGATAGATTACAGCTGCTCAAACACATTTTTCCCTACCTAACTTGATTTGACTAAGTCTAGTGGTATCACTCTAGTCGTCATGCATAAACAGTTTGACTTAAAGCAGTTGAGTACATTAACTTGTACACTGAATAAGTGGTTTATAGTTAATCATATATATAAGCTTTATATATTATTGTAGTGTAAAAGAAAGACATTATATCATTTAGGTATCTAGGATTTATCTGGTCACAAACTATTCTGTATATAAATGTAATTATTCAATAATACTCGATAACAGATAGGATGACGTTTAAACCTGCGATCTAGCAGTTGGTAATTACCGATTGAGTGATGTACGTAGAAAGATTTCAGATGGTGAATAACAGTTTCGATGGCATAAAAAAATAGGTGATGTAATTTATCACACTCCATTCAGTAAAGATCACTTCTTGATAACTTCTAAAACAATTGAGTCCCAATACTCAACCCAAAATCATTTGGTACAAAATAACAGGAAATCTTATTGCTTATTATAACTATTAGAAAAAAACAAGTTATTGGAGCATAAAGAAAAAACCTACATCGTGAAGGAACTCTTTGAACAATCAGTCAGTTACTTTATGACTTGTAGCACATTTTTACCGATTAAACTGTCAGTCAAGTTTCTGACACATTACTTCAATTACTGTTAGTTAAAAATATTATTCGACTGAGCGATAAATCATTAGTTATGGTGTTCACTAAGTCACCGGTCCTCGAACTTGACTCAGCCTTCGGTTTTTTTGGCGATCAGGTCCTCACAATTAGAATTCGAGTACACTTATTTTATTTATTTATTTTAACACATAGATATTGGTACAAGAAGGCACCAAATGCATATGCGCCACACAAATCTCATTTGATATGTGTGAGGGCTGTGATACTACCCGGGGGCCCAAGCCGAAGCAGGTGGTTTTCTTAGGGCGCCACTCCCCGAGCCTTCGACCTGAAGGTCTGATCCACAAGGCAGTGAGCATCGTAAGGAGATGCAGTCCCATGGAAGCCGGTGGCCAACAATTGGTTCATACGCCGTTTGTTCCCGCAGGATACTGGGGCCCATGTGCACCATTGGTTTGGAGTCCGGTTAAAGCGCCGGACATTGACTTTTCGTCCTCATTTTCATAAACAACACCCCCGCCACGAGAAGGCAGTGAGTAGGAATTCCCTGGCAGAGGCTATATACGCGTGGCCATATGAGAGCGTTTCGATAGGGAGCGCGGACTCTCCCCACTCTCGGTCGTACCAGGGCATTTGGGGGCAATTCGAGTACACAGATCTGCTTTACCTAGTAGATGACCTTGATGTATGTGCTCAAATATTTTTATGTATATCATTTTTTTTTTCTTATTCAAGGTAGCTTTTTCACATATTCTACCAAATTTCAATGAATGTTGGTGGGATAGTCTCATCTTAGATATATTAGTCTGTAATGGTTTAGGTATACAATGTGGTATGTGGTTATGTCGTTGGTTAGAAATGCGTGATTATCAATGGGATTCCATTCGTAATATACCAAGTGCACGTGGTAAATTAAAACGTGCATTTTTACAATTCACACCACGCAGGTAATTACTGTTTTTTCTCTGTTCAAAAATGCACTTTTTGTATTTTCATAATGATAAGAAAGAGTTTTATGGAAGTCAGTTTAAGATACAGGTTGTCTTCGTGACAGATCAATCTCAGTTAGAGTACCACTGAAAACCGACGAACGGTGGATAAACGTTTCGTCTCGTTATGGGGTTCTTCAACTGTGTCCACTCACGACCCCACCAAGGGTTCATCCCAAAATCTTTAGGTATCGCAATTTAAAGAGACCAAGTTTCATGCTTGGATGAAACAGCTGTCTACTTCCCAATGGTTTTCAATGCTGCTCCGACTGTGATCAGTTTATGACGTGTACTGTTTCCAAATGATAATAATGGTAATATAATTTAGTCGTGAAGCTTTCAGTACATTTAAAGACAATTATACCAGCTCCCACTTTAAAGAGAAGTGAGCTGGTGATGAGATACAGATAAGAAGAAATGGTGCCTCAATTCCAATGAAATGCTAAGCATAACAAATGTACTTCGAAAGAAGTGATCAAATAATATAGATTATAGAACAATATTAATATTTGAAGAAGGATGAGTGATGAATACAGGTAGCTTTGTCACTGCAATCGACTTTGAGCCCGACGTTTGCAACGGCAAAATACAGTGATTACACGTGTCCCTCAACTTGTGATTTTTTTATATGATCGTCTAATTCAGACACACATTTCTTATACATCAAGCTCACCTGCTGTATGATTGAGAGAAGACCTAAAAATAACTAGGAGCAGTAACTGATAAACCGAATAACTAGGTACACAAATCATTTGTATATACACATTCCTCCTCCTAACCCGGTCAAGGACATATAAGCTTAGACATAAATTAGGTGGCGTAACTGGCTTCCTCTAATATAGTGCCTTGTTTGGTACTGAGATGTCTTGGGACACATAAAGATGATTTGTTTATACTCTCTTGGTCCATCATTTTCCACTCAGAGGTATATCCTGGAACAGTCCTCATTGGTTTCATGCATCGATACAAAATGCCATCCTCTTATTATTAGTGTTCTCATTGGGTTAAATGAGCATTATCTAACCACTTGACGTCTGCTCTGTCTTGAGGTGAAGTGATCTACGAATAAGATAACAAAAGTAAACAAAACTTATTTACCATTGTAATTGTGATGAACACTCTCCTAGCACCAAATATCATGATTCAACTAATCAGTTTTGAGCAATGCTAGGAAGTAGCAGCACTATGAGTAATGTAAACGGCTAACTTTCTCTTCTCTTTCTTAATGCCTCCTGTTACATAAATAAAGGTTGAATTTTTTCTATACTCTCAAGAAGTAGCTTACATTAAGTCACAAAACATCCAAAATACAATTTTCCTACTCAGTGAGATATAACAAAAATATATTTATTTTGCTGAATATGATAGTCTGGCGGAGTCACCTAGACTAGTGGCCATATTGCAACTTGATCAATTGCATTCGATCTGCACTAAAAAGGACCTGACACACATGGCATTGATTACCCAGTGATCAATCAATTAGGAGTCTATACTTGTCAAGTGTCTGTTGTTATATACCATTTCAACGTCAAACAATGCACCCTATTAGAGAAAGACGATTATATCACCTAATTTTGATCTAAGCCTATATGTTCTTGACTGGGTCAAAATGACAAATGTACATGTGACAATAATTTATGTATCTGATTACTCGGTTTGTCAATTACAGCTTCACAGTCATTCCACAATCTCCACATTTACGTAACTAGTTATACAAACATATACAGAGAATGCATGTGTATCTGAATTGAACAATCATAGAATATCAACGAAATACTGATTGTTAAAAAAAAGTATCCAAAATAAAATACAACAAATTAGTTTATTGTAAAACATCCACATGTTAATCCTAAACAACAAGAGGATCTCTAAAATGAAGAACACACGAAGTATGTAGTGAATATTTGGTAAGAATAAAACAACTAAAACCTTGTAAGTTGCATTAGATAAATTAATAATGGTGTCAAATGATCTGATCAATCATTTTACCATAATTTAAACATAATACAATAATATCTTCAATATGGCAGGTTTTGAATTACCTATCTAATTGTTGATATTTAGAAGTGAGTTTTGATTAGTCTTTGTTAGTAAATATGTAAATTGCCTTTATATTCCAATGTTCCAACCATTTGAATTTGGTGAAGCCTGACTCAGTAAAGTCGATAGGCTCAAGAACCCATCGCGTAGACGTGATTTCGTGTAAAAATCATTGGTAGTAAAATCCGACTCAAAGTTTTCATGTGTTGCCACAGAATAGTCAGGGCAACCTTGCTAGCAAATTTGGGTGGTCAGCGGAGATCGGACCAACCTACCAATCTGCTCGATGTGTATGCTTATGTATATGAATTACATGAGTCTCGGTTTGTGTGGTTGTGTATGTAGGTATATGCAAAGTATACGCGCCAGGTTCTGAAATGTCTGCCATATGTCCAATAAAACCATCGGCCTAAACCATCAGGTTGAAGACATAATAATGATATTAACTACTCTGTTATTAGTTTTTTTCTAGAATAGGTAGATAGTGTCTAGAATTGGAATATAAGTCAAGTGTTTCGTCCTATCCGGACTCGTCATCTGAATTCATTTGTATCCTTAGTGTTGATGTTCACGTTAGGACGAACGCAAGTTACTCATATATGAGTCCTAATGCGACCGTCAACATTCGGATCCAGGTACATTTTTAGTTGCCCTGCCTAATTTCATAAAATAACGATAGTGAAGTACACTTCCTTAATTAATTTCGTATATTATTATTATTATTATTATTATTATTATTATTATTATTATTATTATTATTATTTCAACACATAGATATTGGTACAAAGAGGCACCAAATACATATGCGCCACACAAATCTCATTCGATATGTATGAGGGCTGTGATACTGCCCGGGTGCTCAGACCGAAGCAGGTGGTTTTCTTAGGGGACTACACCCAGAGACTTCGACCTGAGGGTCTGACCCACAAGGCAGTGGAGCATCGTAAGGAGATGCAGTCCCATGGAAGCCGGTGACCAACAATTGGTTCATACGCCATTTGTTCCCTCAGGATACTGGAGCCCATGTGCACCATTGGTTTGGGATCCGGTTAAAGCGCCAGACATTCGCTTTTCGTCCTCTCATTTTCATAAACAACACCCCCGCCACGAGAAGGCAATGAGTAGGACTTCCGTGGCAGAGGCTATATACGCGAGGCCGTGTGAGAGCATTTCGAGAGGGAGCGCGGACTCTCCCCACTCTCGGTCGTACCAGGGCATTTAGGGCATTTCGTATATATATAACTAACTAGTGATTACGCAATAAAATAAGTCAAATACAAATCAACAGGTAGGTGATGGAGAATGAATTCCACTAGAAAAGGCATTACCATCAGCCAACTCAACAAAATAAGTTTTTGTCTCAGTCTATATGGTTTACATAGACAAAGAGTACTATAGGTAAATAAATACAGACAAGGTAATGAACCTAGATAAAGTGTTACAATTAATTTTATATGAATGCATTTAACATAACCGATATGGTTATAATTACGCGTGAAAAGGTCAGATAAGTTCATACAACAGTTTGTATCTATCTGTCACACCAATTCGCCATACAATTGAATTGAGTGTTTAGTAATATTGTAAATGAATAAAATCTCACTACACACTCAGCTGACGAGTTCTTGACTGGACGAAACACGTGTCCTAGATTACATATACTAACCGTAATCTTTATTTATTTTAAGTAATAGAACAAATTTTTTTTTAATCTAATCTTACAGTTTAGATTTTTATATTTTCATGTTTTTTTTATTTAGTTGGACACATACACGTTGGTTACATCCAGATTCATCGATATTACGAAGTTTTTTACTTAGTCAATTAATACTAGTCTGGCAATTAGCTGAATTGAATTCATTCTTTTTAAAGCATATATTTATTGTTAAACCAAGTCATATTTTAACACAATTACGTTTACTTTTAATTACATGTATATCGGCACCAGCTATAAGGTAGGAAAAAGTATTGTCATTCTTGTTATTACTATTCATTTTTATTATTGAATTTTGTGTGTGTGTGTGTGCGTGTCAGTGATTAGTTTTACATCACTCATATTCTATATTTACTTGCTAAAATTGACCCATATGTTGTGGATCTATTCAAGTGATGAGATACAAAGAAGATGAAATATGCTTGTTAACGTCTATTGTTAACCATTATCTAATCAAATAAAAAATTAAATAGTAGTTAGAAATGGAGTTTAGAACCGACTTTTCTTCTTATTTGGGACTCGTTAGCTGAATGTACCTGCCATATCTTAGTGTTGATGTCCCAAATAGGGATGATTCTCACGTCCTGTATTTCACTACTAGTCACTATCCTGTATCTGCTTGAAAATGTTTGCGTTCTATCGATAATTACAATTATGAATTCAGAAATTCAAGAAAATTGTCTCAAATATGTGTGAAATGAGCCTTTTATATATTAAATCGATAATGATATTAATATTTGGTAGAAATACTATCAATAAAACATACTTGGATTTTGTCACACACTATCAGCATATTAAGACCTACTACTGCAAATACTGCCTTCATCTCGATTTTTGCTGCGTATGAGGTAGAAGACATGAATCGTATACGAAGTCCAAATCATCTATCTGCATTCAGGCTGTCTGGAAAGAGCAAGAGGAGGCAGCCTTGTTTGACACCGGTCTTCACTTGGAATACATCCGTGAACTGCCCTCCACACACGACTTTGCAGTGTAGTCCGTCGTCAAAGTTCTGTATAATGGTGACAATCTTCTCAGGTACCCCGTAGTGTCGAAGATTCCATAAAGTTTTCTTATCTACACTGTCAAACACTTCCTCATAGTCAAGGAGGCTGAGTTCCATTCAACTGATCGTTCAACAATAACCCGTAATATCGCGATCAGGTTGACGCTTGATTGACCCTTGATTGGTCGCTCTGGCTTACTTTATTTTCCTTCTAGCTTCGTTCTATTATCTACCTGTCTTATATTTCCTTCTTTTGGAGCTTTTCCCGCTGTCGTTGCTAGGTCTTTCACATATTTTCATTTATCGATTCTAATGTTCCCCTTCACTCGACCTATGCCTTAGTTTTCTCTGCTCTTGTATGTAATTAGGTGCCGATTACCCGGCTGTGATTCACACAATTATCGTAATTAATGATTTGAGATGTTGAGGGACATCGTTCAAAATTGGTCACAATGGTGCAGGTGCACCCATTCTTTATCTTCCATTAGATCTTGAAATTTAAGACACCTTTCACCTTCGCATTTCAAAAATTCATCTTTTCTTTCTCTCAAGTTATCTGTAAGCTTGTTACCGCTTATATTACTACTACGACTACTCTAGTCTCCATCTCGATCATTTTATCTCATTGTTTTATCTGATGACTTGAATTGATCCAATATTTATGTTAAATTCTAGGTTGCTTATGACTAACTGTCAGACCCCTATCAATGAAATTCACCACTTACATTTTATCCTTCTGTGTTTCAATACTGATCCTTTGCTCTTATGTAATTTAACTTTAATGTTAATCACTTAAAATGTCAGAATATTATACACAAGTCAATTACTTACTTGCTTACTTACACCTGTTACTCTCAATGGACCACAGGTCGTCGACCAGCATTCTCCAATCTACTCCTTATAAAATAACACTTTGTTTAATACGGATGATATAAGGATCAAAGTGTTTCATTTATTGTTATATTTAAGATAATCTATGTACAATATAAATTTGATAATCATTACTTTAATGGTCATTTATATTATTAGTATATTACATTATATATTAATTGCTATAATTGACTTCTTCATTTTATTGGTATATTTAGACAATACTACTTATATGTCATTGATCCACATATCAAACGTGTTGGATCTCAACTATGGCTTTTTATGTAAGTTCTTGTAAATACCCTTTTTATTCTTCTTGTCATCATTGATTATTTTATATCTTAAAGTATTCATAATTGTTTACTATTGAGTTCAATATAATTCAATCTGTCATTCTGCTGAATGAAGAATGAATACTGTTATAACTTTTTCTCCTGTCAATTATCATGTGATAAAATCACCAATCACAATACTGACTCATATGACCTTGTCCTTGTGCTAAACCAATCACATGTCAAATAGCACTAATAGCCTTGTGTCAAATTTGAATCCTTATTGGTCCTTCTCGCCTAATTCTACCGATTATGAGTTCAGAATATAAATATCAGCCTCCACTGTATTCACCATGTATTTCACACATACAAGTAAATCAGAACGCATCATTACATAAAATAGAAAATGACAAGCTAAAACATGCCACAACGTGTCCTTCTTAATTGAAAATTTCTGATTGACTGAATATATGGTTAGTTGAATAAAACATATTAAATGAACATTAAAGGCGTTGCTGATGTTTTTAGTCCGTTGTTTACTTTACCAATATTTAATTAGTTGAGTGTGTTGATGCATTCCATCATGTTCACACAGCTTCCTCTACTGTATTTATTTTATTTATTTCAACACATAGATAATGGTACAAAGAGGCACCAAATACATATGCGCCACACAAATCTCATTCGATATGTGTGAGGGCTGTGATACTGCCCGGGTGCCCAAAACGTATTATATAAAATCGACTTCACCGGTACATCTCTATGTGCTCGATGGTACCCTCTCTGATTGTGACTCTTGGTGATACGGGATTGAATCCTCCAGGGAGGACCAGTTCCCTCAAGATCACTGGTACAACTTGCTGACGAATGCCAAATAACACGAAATCTAGGTTCACAGTTTCTCGGTAAACGCCCTCGATCATCACCATGTATTTCAACATCCCGACCGTTGTTGCCACCTTGACGTGGTGGTCGGGCTGCACAGAGGTGTGACAGCCGTAAGGCGTTTCCTTCAGACAACCAGCATCACAGCGTTGCTGCCTTCCAACAAAGGTTGACCCTAAAATTGCACACCTCGCCTTATCCCACGGATATCCGTCTCCGGTGGTAAGGTCTCAACAAGTACGAAGCTAACATAAAACTTACTCATTAAAAGGTCGTTTGTGACCGACCTCAAGTAGTTGTCCCTTGGTCACTGCGGTCACGCTCTCAGGTCAGTAAGACCACCTATAATCCAATTTCCTTTTCAAGTACCTACAGAAGGACCTCCAGACTGACTGACTGACATCTCAACATAGTGAACGCGATATTAGGTCACTTATACTAGAAACTAAATTGCAACTTGGTTAGAACTGAGAAGGATTTGAAATACATAACATTGGTCGCTACCCAGTAATCAATCACTTGTACACCATCCCATTTCAATTGTCATACTCTTGCTTTTATAAATTTAAGTTGGGAAAATATCCAGTGGCTTGTATGGAGCATTTTTTATATCTATTGCAGACTATTATGATGTATATATGCTAACAAATAAACAAGAAATTGATCACTGAGTAGCAGTAATCATGGTGACAGGAAATATGATTCGTTGTTTATTCAATTAGTTCTATGACTAACAGTTTTAGTGTCTCAGTTTGTGTTTGCATTAAACACATTATATATATGATTATATAGATTCGGAGAAAACTCTCATATACAGATAATATACAGATCGTTGAGTAGTGAACAACCAGCATCATTCTTCCTTAGTCCCTTTCATTGCCCATCGAATCCTATCAATTGAGTTCGGATGTGACTACTAGTCTAGGTGGCTTGATATCACATAGACTACACTTAGATGTTAGGTGGCTGAAGGTAGTCTACAGGAAACCACACTTGACCTAGGTGTTATTCAATTTGGCATCCACTAGCAAAGTGTACCAGTAATCTGTGGAGGACTGGTGCCTCCTAAACCACGTCAACATGGCATTTGTCACTAATCAATAATAAACAAATCATAAACGTTCCCCACTTTTACAGAAGTTACTCACAGTCTAATTGGATCAGTGGTGACCTATCAGACCATGAAGTTGGATGACTTGTGTTCGAACTTATCATAGGTGGACAACTCCCTGAATATATTTAGGTACACGTGATTGTGATGAGTACCAAATAACAGGAAAGCTTAGATCCATTGTTTCCTGTCGACTATCTCTGACCATCTAAGAACTTGTTCATTCTTGTCATGATAGTACAATACCACAACTTTAGTATATTTCTTCTAACATGTGAATCAATATTATTGATGTTTGACTCTCATGTACTTTAAATTATCTAATTGTGTTACGAGAAACTTATTATTGAATCCAACCTATTATTATTATTATCATTACAGTGCAATAATTCTTACTGAGTTATTAGTTTGCTTAAAATTGGGTAGTGAAATATTTGAAAATACGGTCTTCTGGAATCTTATATACTGGGGTATATGGATGGTAAGTTTTTGAACCTTTGTCGAAAAATAAACTATCTAATTGGTTTTCATCTTGTTGTTGTTGTTGTTGTTGAGTAAGATGAATAGATACCTCTTGAGACATTAGAAGAAAATATGCAAGATTGGTTCAGCAAAGATTTACTTCTCTTTCCAACGAATTCGCTTTCAAACTTTTACAATCACAAATATATATTCACTTTTCCAAAATTATAATCTGTTTGGTAGGCCGACTCGAGAATACAATACAAAGTTAAGCTTATCCTATGAATATCGAATTTAAACGAGATACACCTGTGAAATTCTCGGAAAAAAAAGAGCTTCGAAATCCCTGAGGAAAGCTTTCTACTCTGCTAATCTTCGTATCGTCTTCTTAAGCGTTAAGGAGAAACCTCCACGTTTTACCCCTTTACCAACTTATTTCTATTTTCCTACTCTTTCTGATCACAATTCATCTCAACTTTAACATTTCGTCTCATCACGTCGTGCAATCTTCCTTTCACAACCATTAATCGCTATCAATCCTCATGATGAATATTCAAGGTCATAGCAACTCAATTGTCATGAAGTGAATAGAATTTTTGTGTTTTTCTTTACTCTACATCACGGTTACCATGATTGATTAATTTATCGTTTCATTGAAATCATGAACCAATCTAAGTTAGACCAGCATTGAAAACCTAGAAACACTGAAGTCGGTAGTCTCAAGGCTAAGAGTTTGTGAGTGAAAGCGAAGTCCTGATTTCCATTCTCGCATATGTGGTTGTGGATGAGCGAGCTGAAGAATTACATACTAGGACGAACAAACCTGTTTGGTACTTCCAGAATTTCAATGTTTATCTAACTTAGTTCGGTTTGTGTTCTCATCAAAAATCTATTGTTATTTTTCTTATTAACAGAAAGATAATCGACTAATATTTATCTACGATTGTATATCTTTAAAAAACTATTCACCGAAAAGAGAACTATCTCTTCGCGAAACCAATCTTTCTTGTTTTCCTGTTTTAAGGAAACGTAACCGGTTACTTTTTCTCTCAAAATTCAACAGTTTTTGTTAGCTGTAATTAGTTGTAACTGTATAACCAGGTACCAACTGTTGCTGTGAGATCTAGTTTTTAAAAATAGAAGCCATATGTAGGCTCCAGATAACCCGTCAACATTCTGTGTATTTGATACTCAATATTACTAATTACCTACCTGGTTGGGTGTTGAAATTTGATTGGGCGATTTCATAGTCGCTCCGATGACAACTCACGATCGTCGACACAGTATACCACCTTTGCACCTAATATTAATGTAAACTTATCCATTCATTGAATGAATTATAGCTAAACTTTGATACAGGGATAACTGAATCAAAATCGAAATGACTTCAAGAGATTTTTATGTGTTCAGAATGTAAAATTCTATGAGATTTATCTTACATCGCTCTACAATACTCAAATTGGCGAAAATTATCAATATAACTTATTTGTTATCTTTATAGATTAAACTTGACATTGTAAAACACGTCAAATTCTATGGCATCACAGAAGTCTATGATATTTCGCATCTCCAGGATATACAGTAGGATAACACTACAACTCGATATGCTAGATATGAATTGGATCACGTTATATACTCATTCTAGACACGATACACAACCAACGAACAAGGCCCAGATGACTGGTTAGACAATAGTTTATTTAACATGAGTACCGGCAGTTCACACATATAGAATGGATTCCACAGTGAAAGCCAAAGTTGAAATCAATCGTAGAAAAAAATCACAATATTGAATAGTGTCATGATATTTAACAAAGCTTTGTGTTTGTTTCTCTTTTTTGGGTTTGAGAGAACTAATAAAACTGTCCGGTTGCTTGACAAAAGTTGATGGAGCGGGGTTTGACCCTGGGGCTCAGTGGCTGAAGGCCGAACTCCCTAATCCTTAAACTACTGCAATAGCTTAGTGTTTGAGGCGTTCAACTTTTTTCATCCCTATCATATCACCAGCATTACATAAACAAACATTCTTAGTTCAGCTTCATGAATACAAACTTATACTTGATAAATAATTTCAACTAAAATAGTTCGCAGTGGATAGATCTCACAATCATCTTTTAACAATCTAGTGCTCGTCGCGAATTTTGAAACTTTTGAGTTCAACTTTTTCATCTGCATTGTAATTTGAAGCTAAGTATATGAATTTTTATTTGATAAGTGGGTGATAATTAGTAATTATCATTAGATACAGTCTATGTAGATAACGCTTTCTAAATCGTAAACACCAGTGGCATTTTTGTTAAAACATTCTAATTTCAATCACCGAGCTGCGAATGTTAACTACACCCCATGTGCTTAAGTTTCAATAACCATGTAGTATCATTCAAACTCTTACACATGCACACTTGAAGTGTAACTTCAAAGCCATTATTAACTCAGTAAAATCAGACCTCTTATAATTTTAGATACCTTTTGATAAGAATTACCATCTAGTGTGAAACTGGGATCATATAGAGATGAATATGATTATTTGATTCCCTCATTAAACAGAAATTCTTACAATTTCAACATTTAATCAAATTCATTTTTATAAATAGTTTTTTAAATGTTACATAGCAGGGAGAATTAGAGATAATTGTAATGACATACTTGATATTGTGTACACACCAGTACTGTACTGTTATAGCCCCCCGCCAGCTACTCCAGAAAACAAATTTTATTAAAATAGATTATTTAGAATTGATTAATGTAGATTAAATTTACCTTCAGTTGTACATCAATCAATTTCGTTTAAACACATAATAACAATGAATTAATGAATACAATGAAATGTTTTTGATTGAGATCATGAACCGATTGATGATAGACCACCATTGAAAAGCTGGAAGCGCTGAAAGGCTATTTCATCCTATTGTGGGACTCCTCAGCAGTGCACATCCACGATCCCGATCGCGGGTTTCGAACCTATGGGCTTCATTCGCGCGTGAACGCTTAACTTGCTGGACCACTGACCCAGCACCCAGTGGTGTTAATGTGTACCTTCAACCAATCCACGAAATTACGCGACCATCTTCCATTTTACTAGGGTAGATATCTGTCTCTACCTGACACGGATTAGCTCCACTGATTACTTCGAGAATTCCCTCACTTTACTAGTCACTAGTAAGCACATGGTAATTATCATTATAGAATTGTGTAGTTTATTAAGTTTTTGATTGAGATCATGAACTGATTGATGTTAGACCACTATTGAAAACCTGGAAGCACTGGATGACCGTTTTGTCCTATTGTGAATGAATGTGCTTGACAGGATGTTCTAAGCTTTAGATTTTGTACACATTCGTTTAAACTGTATTATCTGACATCAGTATTACTTAAATTTGGATTATTCCAATAAGAACAAGTTGCATAATGAAAAGCTTCAGATCATTAAAAAAAACTAGGTGTTCTACTGATATCACGAACCGATCGAAGTTAAACAACTACTGATAACTTGGAAGAATTGGACAGGCGGTCTGTCCTAGTATAAGACTCTTCATCGGTTCACATCCAAGACCTACACTCAGGAATTAAACCCAAGGCCTTGTTTTCGCGTGTCAACGCTTAACCTCTGGACTATTGCGTTATAGTCTAATAGAACTCGGCAATTCCCATAACCGTATACTGATAAATGAGAGTTCGTTTTAAAATCACTGAATTCGGTATTGATCATAGTTACAATCTGTGATAGTTACAATTGTTGGAAAAAATAATAAGAAATAATTTGCAATTAATTAATTTTAGTCAAATTGTGATTGTATGTGTTCTTTTTTTCTTTATAATAAATTATCTGAGTACACTCCCGAATGACTCTGGTAGTGTTGAATTCTCCTATTTAGATTATTTAACTGGGGAACTTTCATTGTCATTCTAACTGTATCATAATTATCATATTGATCTTTATAGGTTTTTTTCCTCTTCATTTACCTTTACAGTCATGTTGACCATTTTCATTGATTGACCTCTTAGTTTATGATCGATCAATTAACCTTTATTTTATATATTCATTGATTGGGTCAATGTTGATATGTTCATTAATCGCTAATTGATCTAAATGTCATGACCCTAGAAATTCTTTGGGTAATGAGCTACACTGTAGATAAATAGTCTCTTTATACTACATCGGAATGAAATGAGATTACATAAGCGTAAAGGTAATAGGGGTGTTGATGTTTTTTTAATAGTGAAATGGCTAAATTATCAACGACAACAACAACATAAAGTGGATATTTAGAAATGTACAAACTATCATACAATAAAGTGTAGATTGTGCACAATCATGTGAAATATGAAATTCAAACAGTTTGTACCAGGAATCTAACCACATGTAAAAAGGATAACTAAATTGGTTAATGAAAATGATTTTGAAAATAGACCAATGCTTGACTTTTTAAACTATGAGATTAAAATACCTTCATATCTTTCTTTCTACTAACTAATTCTTTCTTCCTATACTACATCCTTATATGCAATCTTTCTTTTTATATATTACCATCACTACTTCTATGAATCCGGTGTTCATCTTGTTTTGCTAATGAGATATAGTAACTTGAACTGATGCATATATGTGCCTGATCCTACGTTGTAGATGACTGACGTTTTACGTGAAAAAGCACACAATTTGAAAATGTAAATAACATTCAAATACTTTGATGGAGTTTTGTTCACTGAGCTGGATGGTTTGGTCGTGGAACTTTCATCGTTCTTTTGAACGACATCAAAAATCATCCACTTGAGCTAAAAAAATTTTTCCCTATTTCAACATTCAAATATATATTGTTACATTCAAGTTGTCTTCGTCACTCACTTTTACTTAAGTTTTTTGTTATAGAAATAATTTGGAAGATGACTTTCAGGGGTCGATCTCCCGAAAGGAGATTCACTACTTGGTCTCAGTCAGTCAGTCAGTCAGTAACAACGTAGAACTTAGTACGTACGTACATCAGTTCGAGTTGCCATACCACATTAGCACAGAGATGCAGTGGTCGATTCAAATCCCGTAGTAGTAGAGGTAGCAGGAGTATAAGCAGTAATCGGGAGGATTAGGGTTTGGAGATGTTATTTAACGAGTATAATCCAGTGAAATAAATTTGGAAAGAGGAAAAAAAGGGGCATGAAGAATTCAGATAATTAGAATTTGGGAGAACATAGAGAGTGGATGCACCTGCGCCATTGCAAACGATTTTGAGCCATGTCATTCAGGGTCTCTAACCATCGGTTGCTATCATCTCGCGGTCCCCAACCAGGTAGTCTACACCTACCAACATGACTCAGACCACTTGTCAGTGACTTCATGGATTTGTGCCATGTTTTGGTCTGGCCGCCCCTAGCTTTCTTCCAACCTACTCCTATACCACTGAATATAGCACGTCGAGGTAGTCGGTGGTTGGGCATACGTAACACGTGTCCCAGCCATCTCAACTGGTGAAGTTTCACTACTTCATCAATTGATTTGCCATCCTTACCTAGTACCCGTTTCCTAACAGCTGCGTTACTTACTCGGTGGTCCCAGGATATACGAGCAATACTTCGAAGACACCTATGATCAAATACTAGTAACCTACGAATATCCTCTACTCTTACCGGCCATGTTTCACTACCATAAAGTAGGACGGAACGAACTGCTGCGCAGTAAACACGTCCTTTGGTTGGTAGACGGATATCTCGCCTACGCCATAAATGACGCAAGTTGGCAAAAGCTAGTCGAGCCTTCTGTATCCGTGCTGAGATTTCGTCACACACCAGACCACAAGGGCTGATGAGACTTCCAAGATAAGTGAAGCGGTCGACACACTCAACTGCTTCACTCCCTATCACTAGTTCGGGTGTCGATGTAACCCAATCCTGAAGCAACATTTTGCATTTCGAGGGAGAGAATCGCATCCCGAACATGCTTGCATTGTTGCTTAGAGTGGTCAGAAGACTCTGCATTTTGTCAGCGTCTTCACCAAATAAAACTATGTCATCTGCATATTCTAAGTCAACAAGTGAACCTCCCGGTAGAAGTTCAACCCCTGGAAATTTAAATGAGGAGAGTGTTATCTCTAAAAGTACGTCGACCACGAAGTTGAACAAGCCTTGTTTGATGAAGACACTGAAAAAATTAGAATCTTCATACTGATTTAAGCAAATTTCTCCTTGCAAATGCAAAAGGTTGGCTTTGGATTGGCTTGCGTCAAGGTCTAATATAAGGATACAAATTTAAATAGTTGATTATGACAATCACTTCACTTATGTGAAGATTCTCATCAACCCTGGAAGGTGAACATAAATTCAGAAATCATAGTTGGTATCTACAAACTCCCCTCAATTCTGTCATAAGTAAGATATTAATTTGCTAACTAATTGACGAATTCGCTGCTCAACAGCAGTTCATTTCCTTCTACTTTATAGCTATGAAACGTGATCATTAATAATAGAGGATATTCATAGTCTACACTTCGTTTATCTTGACATTATTATTAAATCGCACTTTCAATACTGAATTGTGATTTAATATGTTCAGTAAACCAATGAATTAGTGATTTCAATTTATTTCATCCTTAAATCACACTTTACTTTGCGATATTAGTGAAAAATGCCTTCAAATTCATGGATATTTATCTGTTTTTCATTGATTTGTCAATTTTCTTATCCATGCAAGGTATTCAGTTCCTTTTTAACTGTATGGATTGGTCGATATTTGGCGAATGGTCATTCGTCTAAAAGGTTACCATCGTTGTCATCAGATAATCAGGAGAATATCAATCAATCATCTTGTATAAATTCGAAGGAGAATTCAAAAGTAAGTAGTTTTATTGAAGTCTATCATGTGATTGAATATCCTTATATGCCATATTCATTACTGTATGTATAATAAATTTGTTATTAATATTACTATAATCTAATAGTTAGGCCTGTTTATTGTGGCGGACAAAACAAATTCCTTGAATTTCTACCATGCTAGAGAGTTTGTCTAGAGTAATTAATCAATCAAGCGCAACGCAGAATCTGGTACATTTATACATCGTTTGAAGTTGGCATACCTCATCAACACAGCGAGATAAAATTGTTAGGGCAAATCCCAGAGTATTGAAGGTAGTAACAGAAAAGATTAGGCATCGAAGATACGATTTGAGGAGAAAATATAAATTAGTGAAATTAGAAAAACTTTTTACGAATTGAGAAGCTTGGAATGTGGGGGGAGATAAATAGTGGATGCACTCGAGCCATTAAGGACGATTCCTAATCATGTCGCTCAATATCTCTAACCATTGGTTACGATAAGCACATTGACCCGCACCAGGTAGTCTGCAACTATATATATCAGTTTAACAATCATTGTCTTTATGGGCAGATGTCATATCTTGGTTTGGTCACCCCTACATTTCTTTTAACCTACTCCTACATCGATCATCATCACTCGTCGAAATAGCAGATGGATTGGCACATGTAACACATATTTCAACCATTTCAGTTGGTAAATATTTGTTACATCTTCAACTGGCTTACCATACTTACCTAGTACTCTGCATTTAACCTCATAATGGCCAACTCGATGACCTCGAAATACACAAATGATGCTTCAAATAATCGAATATAAGTGTAGACCTCTATTATTAATAACCACATTTCATAGCCATAAAGTAGAAAGAAATGAACTGCTGTTGAACAGTGAATTCATCTTTTGGTTAGCAAATTAATATTATTATTATTATTAGAAGCTTTATTCAATATTATATTTTTGTTACAACATAGAATTCTCAGCATAATGTATTTCAACAAGTTTCCTTTTCTTACATCTTGATCTATTTTGACGATAAATTTTGAATGAGGATCGGTTAGATGTTAGGAGTTCGGTAATTCACATTTGATTAATGTTCATTCTTCTCAGTGCATATTGCCAGCCACCATGATGTCACTGATTGTACCTTTTTGTATCCCGTATGGCGAAAGGTTGTAAACTTTTCATAAACGCGCCTGAATAGATTATGCGCACAACAGACATAATTATGTGCTAAAACAAACAACGAAACAGATATCTTGATGAAATATATAGATCGTAAGAACAGGTAGCCCAGATATTCAAGCAGGCCGCCTATGCCACCTATGCCACATATTACCACTTTGTATTAAGACTTAAAGTGATAAGTTTACTGTTGAAGAATCATTCCATACTTTTAAATTCTCTGAGATAACATAATAATAATCTGTCCTCTATAGATATTGAACATCACCATAAATACTCCTTTCCTATATTAATCATGATGAGAGGTTGACAAAGATCAAATGTTATTAGTTTTGTTACACATACGATGGTCATCTATCTTTCAGATATAATTCAAATTCATAAACAAGATAACCGTCTTTGTTACCTTTATCAACTGAATATCAATAACAATAGTCTATGAATAGATTTTTGTTCAATTTACGTTCATAAAATTGATATTTTCCCTACTTCCCTTTATTCTTTTTGTTTTTTGAAAAATAGAATAATAATAATAATAATAATAACTTAAATAATAAATCACGTCAAGTGACCATATCAGATGATGTTATCACATTTGATAGATTATCACAAACAAGTACAACCCATTTATCGTCATTTTCACCATCGGTATTATCATCATCATCATCATCAATGACCAATATTTCTAATCATGTTAAAATTGAATAATACTACTTACTAATTACACATTAGTAGTATTAATACTAATGTTTAATTGATAATCAGTCGGTGGTACGCCTGCTGAGAGGGGGGGGAGCGGTTAGTTGTAACTAAGATCGATTCACTATTTTATTTTCTTGAATTTTTTTTCCATGAAACTTAGTATTGATTGTATTAGTGTTATTATTGTTATCGGATGAAATATTAAGAACACTGTCAGTAACGATTAGTGTCACTATACTGCATATGTGTATGTATTTGCATTCTTATTTTGCTTCTTTCCACTCTATTTATTCAATTTCATTTGTTATCTTATATTTAATCGTTTAAATATCGCTTGATAGTGGAATAGTTATATAAAGTGTTCAACTTTTGACTAGTAGATCACAGGTTCGAACCATACCGTAATTTCTTTGGGGAGTGATTCGAATAGTTCCAAGTAAAAAGTAACACTAGACCACATACACACAGTTACGAGTACACATTTAATTAATAGCTGAAAATCGGGCAATCAAATGAATTTTGTCATATTTACGGAAATTTCATCAGTTTTACTTTACCAATTGTCAGTTGCTAACGAGCACACCATGCTTATCTTCAATACTACGTTAGTCTTTGCAACAAGCTGAATATATTTCTATGTATTTTTATACACATCAATTATACAAATGTCCATTTTGAAAATAAAAAAACTGGTCTGCATAATTTTAAATAGAGACATATTCAGAATGTTCGGTTACCTTTCGTCCTTCTCCCCACCTCCCCCTCCTCCTCTTTTTTCGCCTTTCTCCCCGTCCTCCTCATCATTTTCTCAGTTATGCCAACTTTAATCTCTTTGTCAAATGTATAATTCCATTTTATTGTTTGTTTCTTTGTTTTTAAAGATCTTTTTTTATTCTTTTTAAAGAAATTTTATTCCTCATCGGAAAAAAAAAACTTCTGTTATACTCTTGTATAGTTTAATGTATGTTTTAATAACATCAACAACAATTATGTCCAGTGGCTTCAATAGTAAACAGAAGTTGATTCATTTGTACAAAATTCAACTGATTTATATTCAATAAATCCTTTCAAGTAATTGACAACCTTAACGAAATTGATTTTATTTATTTATTGTGGAATTGTTGTGATACGCAATATAACATGATATTGAATGAAAAGATCATGAGTTGTGGTGATAGTGGTGCTTTTAAAGGACTGGTAGACTTTAAGGTAAATGAATCATTCAAATCATGAACTGATCTAAGTTAGACCAATATTGAAAGCTTAGAACTACTGGATGATCGTTTTCACTGAGTATGGCATTAGTAGTGCTCACCGACGACACCATACAACAAAAACCAAATTCAAGACTTCAGTTTCACACACAAACACTTAACTTAGTCAATAGTTTTAATGGGTATTTACTTATTTTAACACATAGATATTGGTACAAGGAGGCACCAAATATATATACGCCACACAAATCACATTTGATATGTGTGAGGGCTGTGATACTAACCGGTGCCCAAACCGAAGCAGCCGGTTTTCTTAGGGGGCCACTCCCCGAGCCTTCGACCTGAAGGTCTGATCCACAAGGCAGTGGGCCAACGTAAGTAGATGCAGTCCCATGGAAACCGGTGACCAACGATTGGTTCATACGCCATTTGTTCCTTTAGGATACTGGGGCCCATGTGCACCATTGGTTTGGAATGAGGGTTTTCCAACTCCCCTAGGTGTACTGTCCATGTCCACCAACCCGGTTAAAGAGTCGGACATTCGCTTTTCGTCCTCTCAATTTCGTAAACAACACCCCCGCCACGAGAAGGCAATGAGTAGGACATCCCTGACAGGCTATATACGCATGGCCATGTGAGAGCACTTGGAGAGGGAAAGCGGACTCTCCCCACTCTCGGCCGTACCAGGGCATTTGGGGGCCTAATGGATAAGGCATTTGACTTCGGATCAAAAGATTTAATGCCTAACTTCAATTAATCCACGATTTTGCACGGACATCTTACGGTCGTCCAGTGTTTCTAGGTTTTGAATACTGGTCTAACTTAGATCGGTTCATGATTTTAAGTAAATGATAGATTTATCAAATATGGTACCCGTGATGTATAATAAAGAAAGTACATAAAGATGTTATTCACTTCATGACAATTTAGTTGCTGTGACCTCGAATATTCATCATTAGGATAGATAACGATTAATGGTTGTGGAAGGGAGATTGCACGACGTGATGAGATGAATTGTGATAAGAAAGATTAGGAAAATTGAAATAAGTTGGTTTAGCGTGAAACGGTCAACAGAGAAATAAGAAGATGAGAGGGATGGTGATATTTAACAGATATGTTGTTATTATTATTATTTCCAAGAGGAAGATGGTTTAGAGTGTTTTTATTATGCACTCAATGTAACCCAAATATTTTGAAGTATATGATAGTCAAACATCAATAATATTGATTCACATGTTAGAAGAAATATACTAAAAATGTGGTATTGTACTATCATGAAAGGAACAAACAAATTCTTAGATGGTCAGAGATAGTCGACAGGAAACAATGGATCTAAGCTTTCCTGTTATTTGCTGCACATCACAATCAAGTGTACCTACAATATTTAGGGAGTCGTCCACCTATGATAAGTTCGAACACAGATCATCCAATTTCATGGTCTGATAGATTACCACTGAGCCAATTAGACTGTGAGAAACGTTCTGTAAAAATGAGGAACGTTTACGATTTGTTGATTACTGATTAGTGACAAATGCCATGTTGACGTGGTTTAGGAGGCACCAGTCCTCCACAGATTACTGGTACACCTTGCTAGTGGATGCCAAATGGCATGACACCTAGGTCAAGTGTGGTTTCCTGTAGACTACCTTCAGCCACCTAACATCTAAGTGTAGTCTATGTGATATCAAGCCACCTAGACTAGTGGTCACATCCGAACTTGATTGATAGGATTCTATCGGCAATGAAAGGGACTAAGGAAGAATGATGCTGGTTGTTCACTACTCAACGATCTGTATATGAGAGTTTTCTCCGAATCTATATAAGCATAGATATAATGTGTTTAATGCAAACACAAACTGAGACACTAAAACTTTCATATTTTATTTATATATCCCTGCTGTCTTTCCTATGGTGACTTACTTCCCTACAATTAATATCAGATGGGTTTTTTGGATATTATAGTAATTTCAATGGTTAAGATCATGAGTCAGTTGAAGCTAGACCACCATGGAAATCCTGGAAGCACTGGACGGCCGTTTCGTCCTATTGTCAGACTCCTCAACAGTGCGCATCCGCGACCCCGCGAGCGGGATTCAAACCCAGGGCCTTCGGTCTCGCGCGCGAACGCTTAACCAGCTGGACCACTGAGCCGGCATCCAATGGTGATAGTTTCTAACTTCAACCAATCCACGAGACCGAAGGCCCTGGGTTCGAATCCCGCTCGCGGGATCGTGGATGCGCACTGCTGAGGAGTCCCACAATAAGACGAAACGGCCGTCCAGTGCTTCCAGGTTTTCAATTGTTATGGTCTAACATCAATTGGTTCATGATCTCAATCAAAAACTTAATAATCTCCACAACTCCTATACTAGTAATTTATTTGTGAATCAAAAGAAAATGATGTAATGACCGAGAGGTTAAAGAAGAATTGGAGGATCACTACGTAATTCTCTTTTGATGTTTGGAATCTTTGATCTCTTTATGATGTAATCAATTGCCTAATCACAAAATATCAAAAGTTACGTGATTGTCTAAAGCATAATACGAAAAAAAACCCAGAAATGATCTAACTTATGAGTAGAAAAGGTGATGTATAAGAAAATAATTGGCCAGAGTGATTTATAAACATTAGGGGGGGGGCTATTACATCATGTTAGAATAAGGGGTTGAACTTGACAGTACTGATACCTTGATGTAGTGAACAAGCTTGTAAATAATGATGACTCAGTCGAGTTATGTTGGCTAAAACATTCAGTAGTTTAGGTTGGATTAGGGAATGATAAATGTAAAATCAGCAAACTTTAAGTTTAAGGGTTAAGTTATAGAGGTGACTGTGTAAGAGTATGACAGCAGTAAGGTGTTTCTCAAGTGTGCTGAAGGTACCTTCCCATAATGTAAGGGCGAGATTAAAATAAATTGATCCTAAAATATAGCATAAATCAGTTTGGGTCAATGGTTAACAAGTTCATCTAACCTTTTAATAATTTGTGTAGGGAGTTTTCTTTTCATTCTTCTAGACCAAAGCAAAGAAGCATATTAACTTCTCAGCATTTCAAATCATTAAAAGAATTGTGAAATAATGCCGATATTATTATACTTAAACCTGATAAAGGATCTAGTGTTGTTATTATGAATAAGTCAGATTACAAAAATAAAATGGAATCCATTCTCAGTGATAAAAGCAAATTTTTAGCTGATGTTAACTTTGATGGATTAGAAAAGAAAGTAAACTCGAATCTTGTGAACAAAGATGAGTTTAATTTATTAAAACCTATGGGTTCGGCATATCCTAATTTATATGGATTATGAGTCAGTTGAAGCTAGACCACCATTGAAAACCTGGAAGCACTGGACGGCCGTTTCTAGCTTCAACTGACTCATGATTTTAATCTGCGAAAATTTCTAAAATCTCCACAAATCCCTTCTGATAATAATCATCTGTACACTAGTGACTGACTTCAAGAGATACTCCTGGAGTTCTAGGGGGAAGCCGTTACCAGTGGAGTTCAACCAGGTCTGTTGTGAGATATCAGCTCAGTGAAGACAATGGTATATGGTGGCGCAACTTCGTGGATTGGTTGAAGTTAGACATTAACACCGTTGGATGCCGGCTCAGTGGTCTAATGGTTAAGTGCTCGCGCGCGAAGCCAGTAGGTCCTGGGTTCGAGCCCCGCGTGGTGCGGGATCGTGGATGTGCGCACTGCTAAGGAGTCCCATACTAGAACGAAACGGCCGTCCAGTGCTTCCAGGTTTTCAATGGTGGTCTAGCTTCAACTGACTCATGATTTCAATCTGCGAAAATTTCTAAAATCTCCACAAACCCCTTCTGACTATATGGATTACCCAAAAATTCATAAGCCTAATACCCCCCCCCCCTACGTCCAATTCTATCTATGTGTTGGTCACCTACACACAACCTGGCAAAATGGCTTACAAAATTATTAAACTCTATCAGAAATCAATATTGTAAGTATTCTTTGATTCATTCGAATTAATTAATTACTTAAAGGATATAAATATAAAGACCAAAGACAATGTGCTCCTTTGATGTATACACTTTATTTACAAATGTACCTCTTAGGAAAACCATTGATATTTTTTGTGTGACTTTATTTCTTCGAATAACCTTCCACTGCCTTTTCCTGTTAATACTCTTAAAGATTTATTATTATTATGTACAGATAATGTAAAATTCACATTTGAAGGTGAACAATTTAGACAAATAGATGGTGTAGCTATGGGCAGCCCTCTAGGACTAGCTGATGTGTTCATGGGATATATGGAGACTCAATTCGAAAGATGGGTCTGTATAAACGATATGTAAATGACATAACAATCATAGGTGATAAAATTGAAGACATAAGCCGCTTGTTAGAAGAATTCAATAGTAGTCAAAAGCACATTTCTCTTACATGTGAAGAAGAGAAGAACAATCAACTTCCTTTTCTTGACATCCTGATTACTAGGAGCGATGATGGTTCCATCAAACGTGCTACATATAGAAAACCAACGTGGACAGGACAATATCTTACTTTTCATAGTCACTGCGCTATTCATTATAAACGCAGTTTAATAAAGACCTTATTCAATAGAATCAATCGTATTTGTACTAGTGATACTATTGAAGTAGAGATGAAGCTCTTGACTGATGCGTTAATCAATAATCGTTACTCTTGGAAGTTCATAAACCGCTGGAGGGGTTACAATATGACTAGATCTATGACGCTTCTGGCACCCAAAAAGTGAGTTTATATTACGCTACCATTCAGAGGTGACACAAATAGTTTCATGTTGAACCAGAGACTTAAATAAGCTGTCAACCGGACATTTTATGCAGCCCAACTTGTCATTATCGAAAAGACAAGGTCTATGTTTC